GGGGTTACGGCCGCGATCAAGCACCCTGGCCACAGAGTCAGGCGTGACAGGCTGAAAAGAGTCAAGTGTCACTGGGCAGGACGGAGCGCTGGACATCTCAACTCGATTCACTGTATTCAAAAAAGGAGAGAGGTCCCGGCGGATGGCCTCCACTTTTGATTTAAAAAATGCTGCAAATTGGTCTGGCGAAAAGCTAGGGGGAGGCCCATCACCCAGACCAATTCCGGATAGGTCGCGTACTATGCGGAATAATTCCGCCTGCTGATTGAACGCCTCGCTTATCCGGTTAGCGAGGAATGATCTATTGGCAGCCTTTACCTTGGAGAGGGTGTTCAGGAGCGATCGTGTCAATGGCCCTAGTTGCTGCGGCAAACCAGCCGTCGACCAGAGCCTCGACAGGAGCGCCAGCCAGGTCAGCCAGTACACCTCTCATGGCTTCCTGAAATCCAATCTGATCCAGTAGCCTTCGAGGGCGGACCATAACAATAGGTCCCTGCTCCCTGCGAGGGGGGAGAGCCATTTTAAGGGCGTATTTTATTAGGTGGTGGTCGGACCATGACAAGGGTACCGACTCAAGGTCAGTCACCATCGGACCACTCTCGCTCCCATTAGTGGAAAAAACCAAGTCAAGCGTGTGGCCACCCACGTGGGTGGGGCCGTTAACATATTGATACTTTCCCAAGCTTTTAAAGTAATGCTTACCATTATGTTCCCCCCCTTTAACAATGTTACCACCTAGAGATGTATTCTTTGCCATTATCAACTCTGAAGCTTTTGTATCTTTGTAATGTAACCTAAAATACTTTTAAAGTGGTGCCCCGCATAGCAAGGTTAATCCGTTCCGGATTAACCCTTGCTATTCGGAAACATCGCTAAATAGATTAAAAAAACCCCATTGGAATACATTAAACATCGTTTAATGCGTTCCAACGGGCCCCAAACTCACCGTTCAGCGATGTTCCTCCATAGCGCAGGCATTTTTGGGCCCTCGGTAAGCGAGGGCAGGGCGCGAAAACACTGCGCGTGGCCATTTTGGGTGTTCCGGTGGCCATTTTGGAACCGCCGAACAGCTGATCCCCCGACATCGCAATGCGAAGATCGGTAAGCAAAACGTTTACCAATTGTCGCAATGCAATGTTTAACCCATTTAAACATCGCAATGCGATCGCATTAGCGACCCCAAAAAACGGGCCGCTATGCGAATTCGTTGTTAAACGGTGTGCTCGTTAAGCGAGGCACCACTGTATTGTTCTTTTCTACTCTAAAAGAGATGCTCCTATATTTTGGACTAGA